GAAATGTTAAATTATTATTAATTTCATATAGATGCTACTCTGAAAGTGCTGCTGAGCCTGGATTTGCCTGTTTTATTAGACAGATGGTCAGAGCTGGTATCCCCTCTCCATCATCGTGTCCATCATTGCTAATAAAAGGAGTTATTTACAACCTCTTCACATGCCATCTTCTCCATATCACCAAGGAAACTCATCTGTCACAATGATAAATCTCTGAAGCTTGTTTATTTGCTGGATGTCTTTCCGCACAAGTGGAAACTGTAGCTGATCTCAGAGTGGTGAAAGAAGAGGCAGTGGCCTTGCTCTGTTAAATCAATGCCAATCTGCCACTGATTTAAGGTTAAGGTTACTTTACTTATACCCATAGGTAAATTTACTTTACAGAAGAATGATAGCATTTGACATCCCTTCAGATAAAAACGTAGGACTGCCGGGCGCTGCTTGTCAATTTAACGTATCATCCAAATGGTTAAAAAAAGATTAAGTTGTTATGAAAAGTGTCGAAAGAGATTAAAACAGTTATCTGTACTTATTTGTACCAGGTTTTAAATGTTTATTTCTCAGAAAGATTAGTATTTTACTGGTATTGTACTGGTGTATCAAACTGATTTGAAGGAATTACTGCTCTCTGGCACACTGCAAAGCAGTAAGTTAACACGTAATAATTGAGCTGTATTGGTGCTGCTTATATCCAAGTGTCTCAAAAACAAAAGCACACAGAAAGCTCCAGATGTGCCTTTATTCATTTACAGCACATTGCTGAGAGTTATAACAAAGGTTCAAAGTACACAGCTTTACCAAAAAAATTAAAAAACACAGTGGTCCTTGGAAAATATTAACATTTAGTTAGTAACACAAAAAAGTGTGGAACCAATTATGACTTGATGACTTTCAGAAGGCTTTTTTTCCTCTCTGTGACAGATGAGCACACTGAATCTCTGAGTCACAGCAAAGCAAACGATTATATAGTAGGTCAGTATAATCACAAACTGCAGATGCATTACAGAGAATGCATAACTTATTAACCACACTGGGTAAATCTGGAACACAAGGCAAATGCTCAGATTTTTTATTCTCAAACATCTGTAATTATTCAGTTATAGAGTCCTTTTCTTAAAAATTTAAATCTTTTTAAAATTACAGAAACACATTCTTACAACAATAATCAAAATAAATACTAAAGATATTCTAGGCTATTCAGAGGTGCCTGTATCTCTTTGTTCTAAGGATATTTTTAAACCACCTGACATCTTCAGGTCTGATGGACCTGCAGGTCCGTTTACATTTGGCAGAAACTTGAGCTGATTTTGGTCATATTGCAGTTATGTCTGCGACATTCATGCACATACTCCCCAGTTATCTAATATTCTAACATTTTTCAGACATATAAGGCATATGAAGGTCGAACAGCCAACTACATCCTCTTCGTAGTGAATGCAGTTCACCCCAGCTCCACAGTAAGTCATAGGTGTAACTCCATGATGTTGAGAATTTTTTTTTCAACTAAGCATTCACCATAAATTGGGGTTACAG